TTCTCGGAAATTGCATGTTGTAACATCGGCAAGTCGCTTGTGGTGTCACCGCAAACTAGAACTTTTCCCTTTTTCAAAGTATCGTGAAGGGACTCAATTAAAGAAGCCACGCCATCCCCTTTATTCCATACAGATCCTAAACAAAAACTCAATTATTTCAGATACTCAAATTGGTATGAAATCACCTGAATTATGTGCGCACACTTCGATCTCTAAAGGCGAAGAATTCTCTAAGACAAGATTCTGAAAAACGCATGACTAACCACTCATAAAAAATGCTCAACATTCACACCCACAGTGTTGTTGGGGTCCACGCGATGAATTCTCTCTTTGACAGCGTCGATATATTTCACAACTAGTTCAAGAGGTATATGTCCAAATACAGTTTGTACACCAAGAGTGAGGCGATCCACCTGTGCAGGTATAGGTCAACACAGCCAAATGAATAGAGAAAATTCACCACATACCTTTCTTTGTACACCACTTCCAACCAATGCAAACTGCGCGAAGTCGCTGCGCTCGAGGAGATCGGTCATCTGCTAATCATAGTCTAACTTCCAACAAGTGTTCTTTTGAGCATTAATTGACTTTGGAACCCAACCTCATCACTAAGTCTGCCAATTGCATCAAAACCAGCTTCTGAGATTCCATCCTCGTGTACGACTCGCTTCCCTCGCAACCACCATTCACGACCCCATGAACCACTAAAACACTGCTATAGAAGCAAATTCACAAGAAAATAAGGAGCAAACTTACAAAAGCTAGAAAAGTGAAAATCTTAACAAAAAGAAGCAATAAGACTAAGAACAGACAGTTCTCACCTGAACAAGACAGGTCCATTGATCGGTAAAGCTGTGAGGTCTAAGATTCCCGGACCTCGAAGTGGTCCAGCAGTTAGCACTGCCGTTGCTCTAGTGAATAGCTCGGCAAATCTACCCATTACTACAGCACTGTACACCGGCTGCAAGCAAGGAAATAAACTAATCTAGCAAAAAATTCGAGATACAAACTCAATGAAAAGAGCACTCACCTGGAGGTTAGTGGCATATTGAGAGCAGTAGTCCTTCATGGTGCCGTCCCAATCGGTGATGAGTAGTGGTTTAATACCCGAATCAGAGTCAACGAAGTCCATGAGGAA